ACACATATATGGTCCACTGAGTTTTGAAAGATTATTTAACATTAACATTTTATAGAACATAAACTCAATTCAAGAGAAGAGGAAAAGATAGTGCTTTCAGCAAATGGTACTAGAACACCTGTTATCTGTATGTAAAAAATTAACCTCAACCCTTTATTTCCATACATAAAAATAACCTGAAAGGATTGAAGGGATCTATGAACAAAAATATGAAAGACTAAAACTTTAAGAAGAAATTATAAGGGAAAATGTTCATGAATTTAGGGTAGGCAAGAATTTCCTAGGATACGAAAAACATGATGTATAAAAGGAAAAAAATTGATAAATGAGATTCCATCAAAATTTAGAACTTTAAATGACATGGTTAAGAAAATGAAAAGTATTCCTTAAACAGACTATATTTATAATACATATAACCTATGACCAGAATATATAAAGAATTCTTAGAGCTCATTAACAGACAACTAAATTAAAAAGTAGACACAAGAAGGTGATAAATAGCCAGTACAGCACAAGGAAAGGTGTGCAACACTAGGATCAGAAAAATACTAATCAGTACAATAACAAGATCATATTATACACTCATTAGGGAGATGAAGTTAAAAGTTTTAAAAGAACAAATGTCAGCTTAGGTGTGAATCTAGTTAGAACTTTCTAATACTGCTAATGTGAACGTAACATAATAAAACCATTTTGGAAAACAATATAGAAATTTCTTGTATTACTGCTAAGAACCAACAGTTCTGTTCTCAAGTTTTTACTTAAGAGGAATGAAAACACGTGTTCACAATAGATTTGCACATACAAGTTGACTATCCCTTATCTGAAATTCTTGGGACCAGAAGTGTTTCAGATTTTGTTTTGGAATACACTTGATCTGCAAAGAGGATAGCTACTCCTGCTTTTTGGGGGGTTCCTGTCACATGGAGTATTGATTTCCACCCTTTAACTTTCAATCAATGAGTTTCTTTTTTAATTAAGTGTGTGTCTTGTATGCAGCATATTGTTGGATCTTGCTTCATAACCCATTCTGCCAGTCTATTTATTTTGATTGGTGAATTGAGACCATTAACATTGATGGTTATAACTGAAGCGTATTGACTTATCATTGTCATGACTTTTTCTTTTTGTTGGATTCTCCCCCTTTGCATTTAATTTCTTGTCGTGCCCAGCGGATTCATTCTGCTGGGCTTCCTGAGGTTGTGATCCTCGTTGTCTTTTCCTAGGATATTGTCTAAAATTGTTTGGAGTGCTGGTTTGGTATT